GCCAAGTTGTGAAACCTGATCTTTGTAAGTAGGTGCTTGTATTCAAATTGGAGTCCTGTTAATGGCAGGCTGTGACACAGGAATGCGTTAATACAGGCAGATGCAAGTAGGATCAGTGCCTGAAGTTACTGATAGGATCAGACTGTAAAGCTTTGGCTCATTGGATATATTCTGCTTTTCAGAACTGAACTAGTCCCTCTGTTGAACTAGTAAGCTGGACTTCACCTGCTTTGTGAGCAGAGATTTTGCACGTACATCAGCCTAAGGAATAAAGTTAATTCTTAAACTGTCTATACAGGTAAACTATTCAGAAAAAAAAAATTGCAGAGAATTCTTACAGACTTAAACTCTAGTCACTGCACCAAATACACCCAGTTGTGTTTGCCTACATACTCTGGATATACATCTTATTGGACTTTTTTTAGTCTTTATTCATACGTTGCTAATTCTAGAGCTAAGGCTCATCCTACAGAACTGAAGCTGGTATCTCCAAGCTTCTCACAGTCCACAGGGAAGACAGACTTAAATATTAAAGTGGACCAAGATGTTCACTACAGGTGCTCTTATCTCTGTGGGAATCAGAATGTCACCATGATTACTTGCTGCTTGGATAAGATCCAGCAGTTAGAAAACATGAGCCCATTTCTAGTATCCATATTATTTTCCTCAACTGATGGAATCAAAAAATTCTTTCCACAAATGAGATCTGGGGAAGTCAGGCTGAGGTAACTTTGTCCTCACCTCCTATTTCACCTGTCTCTAGTGTCTCAAAGGCTTCTCCAACAGTTTCAGTCAGAAAAGCACTGGTTCCTCTGGTCTGTATTAGCTTTGACCTTGACTTCTGACTTTATCAGCCTCCTCCTTTCTGCTTTTGTTGCAAGGCACTCAAAAAAGTACTGACCATTTAATTTATACAAATTGTTTGGCTTCCCTCAGCTTCACTCAGACATAAAATCTTTGAACATAAACTTTATCACAGTCCAGTGTTCACTGCCTGTTTAACCTCATAATGCATTGAGACATTTGAGGACTTCTTGACTCTTCCAGTGATATCACAATCACATTTTCTATGCTTTCATTTGTATACTGTGGCATTCTTCTAGCATCAAAATAACCAGTATTCAACTAGCTTTGCTTAAATATTTCATTTTTGTATTAATTCATCAGTGGTGTCCACAGTGTCTTCCTCTTCACTACTGATTGAGCAAGGGTCAAGATGAGATATTGTCCAAACTCTCTCTATTCCCTTGAGAGCTGGCCCCATCTCCACACATATCTTCTGTACTGATCCTGTCCGGCCTGTCAGGAATATGAGCTGTGAGTCCAACAGGACAGGAACTGCCCTGTGTTTTGAGGTAGTAATGTCCTGATCCATGGGCATTACTGTAATTTTAAGATTAACAAGAAGATCAGACAGCTGCAAAGTCAATAATTCGAAAGAGATTGCATTAGTGGCCCACAGACTCCATCTGTTTTTGTTATTCAGGCCAGAGTCTGAAAAGTACAGCAACTATCAAACTATTAATGGATCAGTTAAAAGAGAGAAGATTCTTTTTCCATTTTACAAGTGTAGACAATTTTTTCAGTTGCTTATTTAACTTTTTTGTGGTTTCCAAAGCAGACAATACCTTTCAGGTCCTTGTTTCATTAAACATATTTGATGGATCTTCATCTCAGGGTCACCACTGGCTTCCAGTGAATTTTCAAGTACTGTTGCAGGACAGGTCACTGTTAAAATCTATAGTATCTCAGTTAATAATTCCAAGTTATCAGAATGGCTGTATTTTCCTGTGTGATACTGTGGATAATTATGAGCACAAGCACACAGCACACAAGGTGATAAAAGGGCTGGGCAGAAAAGGATATATACACATTTTTGATAGGGCTAATAGATCAGAAAATCTGTGGTGGTTTGAGTTTTAAACACAAATCCTACATGTGTCAAGAGTACCAAGAATAATTTTATAGATATTTCTGAAGAATAATTTTGGAAATAGCTGCACAGTTTGAAATTGTAGCCATAATTCTTAGCAGCTCTAAGCACCTTGTAAACAGATTTTCAATTGATAAATAAGGGAAATTAAAAGATAGGATAAGAGAAGGGTGAAGGAAGGTAGGATTCATAAAGCAAATTACATTCATATTTAAAACAAACCTAGAATATGCTTTGGATCACCTAATGTGGTCTGAGACAATTTTGGAGTAACAAAGCAGCCTCTTATGAGAGTTCATTTTGCTTCTCTGACATTCTTGCTTTGTCTAGGCACTGAAAATCTGTGTCTTGAAGCATTGGATATTCATTGTATGTTGCCTCAGCTCCATACTTTCCCCAAACTGACAAAAATCACCAAATTTAAAAAGTGCCACATATTAGTGGTACCACGGTTCATTAAGTTTATTCTGTATAATAATCAAATATTTAAATTAAATTAATATTCAAATAATATTTAAAATATTTAAATTTAAATATTTAATATCAGAGAAAAATCAATATTTTAGCAAAAAATAAGGAGGACTAGAAAAGGATACAAAGCAGAAACAAAAACCCCAGCTTTACAAGAGGATTCCCCTTGGTAACAAGTCTTCATTTTCTACAAGGACCTCCCAGTCTTGTCGTAGTTCTGTCTTTATTGCTTCCTTTAAGAAACATTAATATTTTTTATGGCTTATGTTATGCTATTTTGTGATACATTATTAGCTGGAAAAGCTTTTCCCTTTATGTTCCTTCAATATAAACGTCTTCCATCTCTGCTTGTCTTTGTGTCTTGTGTCCTGCAAAAATCTGCAACTAGAGAAGTAAGAGCTTCTTTATGAAGATACCTAGGTCTGTCCTCTGCTGAATTCCAATTTCCTACTGGACAGTAAATTCATGTGAAGTTTGACATAGAGGTGATGCGTTAATGTTTTTCCATTATTTTATTTCACTGAAGTAGTTGTATATCCACGATAATTTTGAATTCTGTAGCGACTTATCTTTCCTGCCATTTGGCTTTAATTTATACCTCCATGTCTTAAAATGAAATGCTTGTCATCTCAACTAAAAGGAGCCCAAATAAGTCGTGGTCCTTTGTGGGTCAGTCATAAATATATATCTGATCTTTCTTCCACCAAGTGTCTTTATATAACACTTAACACTTACAGTTTTTCAACTTACTTTTGGATGCTCTCTAGGCAGCACCTCTCTCAACGGATGTTTTACAGTTCCTCCTTGCCTCGTTGCTTCATTCACCAGGTGTTTTATTGAACCATATTAGTTACAAATAAGCGCGTTCTTGCTCGCTAAGAGCCCTCTTAGCCCTGCTAAGACTAAAGGCAGTAGTTCTCTATTTACCCTGCCTCAGGCGGGCTGCCGGAGCAGCCGCGGTGCCGCCCATCGCTCGCCGCAGCGGCGGCGGTGGTGGCGGCGCCACAGGACGGGGACAGCTTGCTTGTGGCCCCGGAGCAGGGGGTGCTGGCCATGTCCCCCTGCGCTACCTGCAGCGCTGCGGGCTCCGGCCGCCCCTCTCCGGAGCTGTCCAGCGTAGCTGAGCTGCCGCGCACCTTGCGCAGCCCCGCCCGGCCGCGCCGCCCGGACAGACGGACGGGAAGCGACTCCCGCTGCATCTTTCCCACCGAAGGGGATGCGGAGTTCGCTCGCTGAGTTGTCAATGATGGCAAATCCTGGTACTCGGCGGGATATGTTTGCGGTCCTGTAGGCAAACAGGAAGTGTTTTCGAGGAGAGGGATCCTTCGGCCGCCCCCATCCACCTCCTTTGATCTCATGGGTTTTGAAATCCCCTTAGAAATTAGACACTAATTAGCTCCAAAGAGAGAGTGGCAACAATGCATGACAAAGGAGAAGATTAGGTTTTAAGAAGGCAGCTCAGGAGTGATTGGGCAGTCGCTCCTGAGAGAGCTGTGTGTACAAATCGTGTGCCAAAGAAAACCGATCGGATTCGAGCTCGGTGTAGCTGACACTGCCAGGGATTGCCAGGGCCGGGCTGTTTATTTATCTATGGCGCGGGAGGGTGAAGACACAGCTCCTCTTCCAGTCTCCCAAGACAGTAGCAAAACAATCCGCAGCGTCTGTCCTCAAGGAAACTTTGATCAAAGAAAGGTATTCAGCGGTGTCAGGTGTGTGGGTGGGTGTGTTTATGTGCATCTCACGGTATTTTGGGGCATGTATCCAGTGCTATCAGTGCGTGCACTCAAGTTGATTCCTCTGTGCTCTGCCTGTGACTGGGATGGCTCTACCAAAGGTGTGACCGCTGCCCTGAGTAGGACCTGCTTATCCTTCTCCCACGGGCAGGAGGAAGGAGTTTCGAAACAAGTGCTACGAGATTGCCTGAACCGAAAAGAGCTTTACGAAGCAGCCTTTTACTGGAAAGACATTTGACCCTGATTGAAGGGGATTTAGGGGGAATGGAGAGACGATTCCAACAGTTACTACTGGGAATGCAATATCGGGTCCCCTACAATGCTTACTTAGGCTAATGGAGGTCCTGTCATTCAGTTCCCATTGCGCTGGGATACAGGGTAAACATTCCCCGGTGACCCTCTGCATGCAGGTCCCCTCTTCAGGACATCATTAAAAGCATACATGCAGTTGCCTGACATCAATTGTCAGGCTGGCTCCCAGGGTTCAGAGATCCCGACAGAACGCAGGAAAACAAGCCCAGTGGAGACCCGGCTCTGCTGCTGGGGGCTTTAAGGAGGCTGAAAATCGTTTGGTTGCGGGTGTGTAAGAAGAGACAAAAGTGCTCAGCAGGTAAGAGCGGAGGGTTTTGCCAAGAAGGAACTGTCCTTGATCGCTGTGACAGGATTGACTCGCTGGGGACTCCTCTCTCGGGAGCGTCCACGCGTCCCCAAGGGGATTGCCTGTCTCCTCTCATCAGCATCACGGCGAGAAATTTTACAGCCGCTCTTTCTAGTCCTGCTAATCCTGTTACCCGGGGGGTTATAAATATTAACGTCGCTGGGGCTGGGGATGGGGCACCAAAATAAGCCCTCTCTGAAGTAAGATGTCAGCCAGCCTTTTCCCAGCCCACCAGAGCCCGGGGCTACTGGATGAGCTGCACGGCAGAGTCCCGCAAGTGCCCTGCCCGGAGGGGCTGCTGGGCACCTCGGTGCTGGATTTCGTGGCCGATCTTTCCCTGGGCAACCCCCAGGGAGCCCCTGGGGCCAGGGAGGGTCTGGGGCTCTGCGAGGTCACCGCCGGGCCTCCCTTCGGGGGCAGAGTCCTATCGCTTCGGGAAGGGATGGCCCGGGGTTTGCCCCTGGCTGCTTTCGGAAATGGAGATCCCGAAGACGAAGAAGAGGAGGAAGACGAAAGGATGCGCAGCGCTTCCCTCCTGGACAGACCTAGGAGAAAACGGGTCATCACCTACGCCCAGCGCCAGGCTGCCAACATACGGGAGAGGAAAAGGATGTTCAACCTCAACGAGGCGTTTGATCAGCTCAGGAAGAAGGTGCCCACCTTCGCCTACGAGAAGAGGCTTTCTCGGATAGAGACCTTGCGCCTGGCCATAGTGTACATCTCCTTCATGACTGAGCTCCTGGACGGATGCAGCAGACAGGAGGCGAGCTAGGAAGCGCCCGGGCCCGGCGGGATGCGGCTGGGGCAGGGCATCACCCGCGGCAGCGAGCAGGTGACCTCGGCGCCTCCCTCCTGGGGCAGCGGAGCCGCGGCTCCTGCCTCGGCTTCTCACACCGCAGCCAGGACCGCGTAGGTGTGGGATGCAAAACCAGGAGTGTTCGGAGAAGCGTGTGCTGAGACCGAGAGGAGCTGGGGACAAGACGGATGGAGAGGCTCAGTGTGTTGCAGATTTGTTAATATTTATAATTTTTGTAAACGGAAAGGGGGGGGGAGGGGGCGGGGATGAAGGTTGGAGGCCCTTTGGTTTGTGTTATATTGCCTGCTTGCTTTAATATCTTTCTAATTTGTTGCTTTGGAGAACGATTGGGCCGGGGCAGTGGAGCCCTTCCAACGTACGGAACGGGTTTCCAGCGGGTTCCGTTCCTGCCCAGCTGCCTGCCAGGGAAATCTCGGCCTGAGCATTTTAACCCAGCGCTTTCTGCCTTTTAAAAAATAAACAGCAACTCCCTTTCCTTTGAAATCCAGTCTGCCAAGTCCACGTCGTGTGTCACGGGGCCAGGGAAGCCGAACATCTGGACAAAACCGTTTGTTGTCACGGTTTTTGTTTTTTTTCCCGGGAACGACTCTGTCCTTGCATGTGGGCGGCCAGCGCCGTCGCTCGCCCCGGGCAGGAGCTGGAGCGGGAGCGCCCGGCCCGGTCCTGCCCGGCGGGGCGAGGTGCGGCTGGCAGGGATGCCCCGCAGCCTTCCCGGCACCGGCGGGGTCCGCCTGGGAAGCCGTCTGCGCCCTCCTGAGAGACAAAACTTGTGAGTTTGTGGGCTTTGGTTTTGGGGACGTCCAGCGGAGATGTTTTCTCTCTCCCGGCACACACACATACGCACACAGACCACGTTTCATCTCCGCAAGGAATAAAAATGATGCAATACGTTCTGAAAAGCCGGAGCGGGAGGAAAGAGGAAATCCCGAGGCGGGCATACCTCGGGGGAGAGTATAGAGTCCACCCCTGGGATGTCTATCTAGCGGTACCTACTGACGCCTTGGCAGGCACCTCTGAACGGGAGCGATGCGCCGGGAGAGCGGCAGCGGCGGGAGGGGGCCCAGGGTCTCCCCTGAAGCCTCTCCGACCCATCTTGATGTGCCTCTGCCCTCCCTTCCCGCTCCCCTCCTCACTTTTCTCCGCTGCTGGCACCTTCCTTTGCTGCTGCCGGGAAAGACCTGGATTTCTCCCCCCGCTCACAGCGGACGGGCAGCAGCCAGCCTGCTCAGAGCCCGGTCCACTCGCACTGAACTGCCCATGCAGGACAGCGGTGCTGCGTGGCTTCATAGGACAGCTTTTATCTCCATTACAGAAAATTAGCTTGATATTAGTAAAATCAAGATTTACCCTGGATTCGCACTAGTATAGCTTGGATCCTCTGTCTTATTTCTTCCATCATGTTTTGTCAGCTCTGTGATGATTCTTCTTTTTCTCATTCTGTTCACTTTAATATCCTGTATTAATACTCTAATATTCTTTCTATTTTCACTTGTTTCCTCGGTTTCCGTTTCTACTTGTTTTTGTTGACCTCCCTGACTCCACACGTTGCATCTGCTCTCCATTTGTCAAAATGCTTTTTTTTCCAAGAGGCAGTTGGATAGTTAGTGCAGCTGGATCCTTTCTAGGAACTGGGGGGTTTCATCTCCTCAGATTGTTTTGTGTTGTTCTGGGTTTTTTTTTTTTTCTTTTTTCTTTTTTTTTTCTTTTTTTGTCCTAAAAATAAAACAAGGAAAGGAACTGCGAATGAACAATGTTCCAAAATCAACAATTGTTCACATAACCCAATCTCATTTTAGTTACCATCATCTCAGGCAAAATGATGAAGACAAATTCTTTAAGGACAATGACATATGCAATTTAATATTCACTTCTTACCGCTAGTTCTCCATGGTCTCTCACAGTATGGTTATATAACTTTTCATAATTTTTCTTGCTCATGTAATTGGATAAAATTAGAACTCTATAGCACATAGAGTCTTAAGTTAGGAGATTCATAACGTAAATATGTCTGTAACAGATAATTCAAAAATTATTGGTTTTTGCTTCTTGGTTTAATAACAAAACACTGGAATTTGTTCAAAATCCAAATTTTTTTCATATTTGTGTTAAAGACTAGAAAAAAGCAGAAAGAACATGTTACATTTTATTTTCAAACACAAATGGACCTGGCATTATGAATTCTGATTTCAAATGGATCACTGGAAATTTTGCAGCAATATAAACAGTAGTAACATTCTTATATGAGCCACTGATACCAAAAACATTAGAAATTAAAAATGCAGTTGTGGTATAAGCCAATAAACAAAATATGTAAACAGCACAGAAAAAATACCAAGACATATTTTGAGCTGACCCTGGGCCACCCATTGATTTATACAACCTGAGAACCTGATGAAATATGCTTTTTTGTTTGTTTCTTTCATGCTTTTCCAAAACTCTTGAAGATTTACAAAAAAAAGCAGTCTAAATGCATTTTTTTCCAAGGAACTAGTGTTGAAACTAAAGCATGTCCTTACACCTCTGAGGAGCTCAGTGAAACAGCAAGATGCTATACTGACCTATCCTCGGCTCCTGTGGACATGTCAAAATCCTGGAAGTTTAGTCTGGTGAGAATATAAACCAATTATGAACATTGCAGGCAAGTTTCTTGCTGGAGTGCAATCCCATCTCACTGAGATAACCAAACTGTGGGGTCTTTTCCTCCAATCCTTGTCTCAGTCCAAGGTAGCTGCATTCTAATCTGTGGAGTCAGTACAGCCCAGCTGCCTGTCAGACTTGGGAAGACAGTGAAAACCCAAACCTAAGAGAGTGCAGAAGGGCTGCTGACTTCAGCAAGGCTTGGATTTCACCCACTGGAGTGAACAGCCTTCCCTTTGCTCAGAATCCCTGCTGTCACCGAGGCTGAGTCCAGTTCCTCCCCAAATCACAATGCCATTATCACTGCATTAAGAACAAAAACTGACAGTGTCAATTACTTCTGGGAAAAGATAATAAGGGGCTTTTTAAAGCCTTGGAGCCCATTTTTAGACCCTGGTCTGAGGCTGGTTTGTTTATGTTCTCTTTGGCCACTGAAGACTGACTTTTGGTAGAAATTTGAGTTCCCTTGAAGCTATCATGTTACAATTAGTATTCAGATATGTAAACCGAAAAAATAAGACTAAATGAAATCATATTTGAGATATATTTTGTAGCTTTCGAGGAGAAGTATAAATAATCAAATGATTTTGCAATCTCTAGTTAGATTGATCTTGTTTTACAGCTGCTGAACCTGAAAGGAGGTTTAAGCAAACTAGTGCTGGAAACAGAACAAAATATTATGATAGCACTGCAAACTTCTGCATCCACTCTCTGATCAGCTACTCTGGCCCCATGATTGGTGTTTATTATCGCATTTGTCAGCGTTTCCATTATAAACACTCAAGTGTGGAGGGTTTATAACTCAGCTATAAAAATTCCCTCTAGGATGAAACTTGATAAGTGAAGTCTTAGTCCAACAATACTTTTTTTTTTCTTTTATTTTACAAACTTTAAATTAGTTTTTGAAGTCATGGAGGTACTAAGTAAAAGTAATGGAAAAGTGGCTTTGATTTCTTTTTCAGATCAGTGGTTCTTCTCAAAGAGAATTTCTATATGACCCTATTAGTCCTTTCAATTAACTTGGACTTTTAGTTTTTGGGGGACTTTTTTTTTTTATTAAAAATAGCTGAAATACTGAAACTTAAAAGGTGGTTGCTGTGCATGCTGAGTCCCTGTTTTCACAGGAATTTGTTGTTTTACTGGGCTTGAATGCTACTAATTTGAAACAATGACAGCCAAGCTTTTCGTAGCAATACAAGAGAATAGTTACAGGGATGGATAGGTGTGCTGGTTATGCTCTTTTTGTAGCACAGTAAATTGGTGCTTTTTCTAAAAACTTGCTAAATATAATCAGTTCAGCTTATTAGCTCTTCAACTCTCCTCAAAAAAAATGCTTGTTTCAGATAGTGAGATGAACATTTGTCACAGCAATATATTCAGAATAAAAGAATTTACAGAATAAAAAATATTCAATTGAAATTGCCTAGAATTTTAGCTTTCTAAGAAGTGCAGCTCAGATATTATTTTTTAAATTGTGTTTCATCCAAATTTTGCTTTTCCTCTTCTCTATCCTAGTTTCAGTGATTACCTTTTTTTCTGGCTGGCACTGAAGTTTAAGCCTTTGAATTTTTCAAGGCTACTACTCACTCTGCTGACCACCAGCTACACCCCAGCTCAGTGGTCCTTACATACCTGAAATTCCTATTTCTTCAAAGAAGTCAAAATAGGGGAGTAATTCTGTTATCTTTACTTTTGTAGTATAGTTTTCCACATTAATATAAACTTATAAAGACTGCAACATATTCAAATTGCTGTGTGAATTATATTATCTTAGTGTGGCTTTTGCTGCTCTCGAAGGCTTGAGTGCCACAACAGTGGCACAGACCATGTCCTTCCATGCTGAGGCATTTTAAATAGTTCCCACACAGAGTTGTTGCACTGCAGAAGGACAGGCTTCACTATTGTCATCCATGACTTTATTTCACACAAATAATCAAGCATACTGAGATTCTAGGACTGTCTATGGTTTTTTGTCATACCTCTGCCATAATTTCAAAAAGAGAGATAAAGAGTATCCTATTGGTTTAACTGTCTCTCCTTAGGTCTGAAAGCAGGAGAAAGATAATAATTTTCCTATGAGTTCCAGTCCCATCTTCTCTTGCTCCAAGCCTTACAGGGGATCAAGGACAAGTATTTTATGATTCTCTACACAGCAAAGGGGAAATCTGTGAGCAGAGTCTTCAACATAAACACATGCACTGAGAGAAGAAGTTAATTCAGATGTTGCTATTTCTTTTTATTTCTAGCATTGTTTAATTACTATGCAGTCTTTAACCTTGTTGATGATTCCAGCTTTTGAAACCTATGGTTATCAGAGG